TACTTTTTGAAATTTAGTAATGTTTATCTTTTTGCTAGTTTTTCTAAATGTCCTATGGACATCTAATAGCAACAAGTAAGATACAAAATTTTAAATATTTTTGTGCAGGATATGATTAATAAAATTAATATAAACAGAAATTATTGTATTTAAATTACTAATGACATTATTAAAAATGCTATTTTCTGCACTTGATAAAACATTCTTCAGTTCAGTTCAGTCCCTCAGTCATATCCGACTCTCTGTGACCCCATGTACTGCTGCATGGAAGGCTTCCCTGTCCATCACCAACTCCCAGAGTCTACCCAAACTCATGTCCATTGAATCGATGATGCCATCCAACCATCTCATCCTCTGTTGTCTCCTTCTCTCCAGCCTTCAATCTTTCCCAGCATCAGGGTCTTTTCCAATGAGTCAGTTCTTCGCATCAGATGGCCAAAGTACTGGAGTTTCAGCTTCAGCATCAGTCCTTCCAATGAATACTCAGGACGGATTTCCTTTAGGATGGACTGGTTGGATCTCCTTGAAGTCCAAGGAACTCTCAAGAGCCTTCTCCATCACCACAGTTCAAAAGCATCAACTCTTCGGCACTCCGCTTTCTTTATAGTCCAACTCTCACATCTATACATGACTACTGGAAAAACAGAAGTTTTGACTAGACAGACCTTTGTGGGCAAAGTAATGTCTCTGCTTTTAAATATGCTGTCTATAGCTTTTCTTCCAAGGAGCAAGAATTTTTTAATTTCATGGCTGCAGTCACCATCTGCACTGATTTTGGAGCCTAAAATATTCTTAGAGAAATGTTAATGTCTTACTATGATTATACATTTTTTCTTTTCCCTTATATTTTTTATGTATCTTTCTTTGTTATGCATCTAATGATTTACAATGTCTATCTTCTTTGTGAATTGTAACTTTTAGCAATAAAAATATTCATCTTTGTTTCATTTAAAATACATAAATTTAATTTAAAAAGGAGAAAAAAGAAAATGTGGTATTCATATATACAATGGAATATTATCCAGCCATAAAAAAGAAGGAAGTATTGCCTTATCAAAAATATGGATAGATCTTAAGGGCATTATGCTAAATGAAATAAAGACAAATGCTGTATGATCTGATCTCACTTACATGTGGACTCTAAAAACAAAACAAAAACTCAGCAACAACAACTGAACTTGAACAAAATACAGATTGATGATTGCCAGAAGTGAAGATTAGGGGTGAGCGAAGGTGCTCAAAAGGCACAAACTTCCAATTATAAGATAAATAAACCCTGAGGATGTGAAATATAGCATGGTGAATATAGTTAACAACAGTGTATTGTATATTTAAAAGTTGCTAAGAGAATAAATCTTTAAAGTTCTCATCACAAAAAAAATTGTAATTAATGTGATAATGTTAACTAAAGTTATTGAGGTAATCATTTAGTAATATACACATATTATTAAATCATTGTTATACAGCTAAAACTAATACAATGTTATATGTCAATTATATCTCAATAAAACAACAACATTCTTAAAGGACTACAATAGAATCTAGAGTTCCAACATCATTATATTTGCAGAAGCCAGGATATAATAAAAAAATTACTTGACATATTAAGAACCAGGAACATGTGACCTATTCTCTAGAGAAAAGTCAGAAACAAAACCAAGTCAAAGATGGAACAGATGTTGGAATTAGCAGATAAAGATTTTTAAGCTGTTATTATACTCAAGGATGGAGAGAAAAATAATACTTGCAATTAATGAGAAGAAGAAAAATCTCAGTCAGTAAGAGTAAAGAAACCACTGAAAATTTTAGGACTTCCTTGATGGTCCCAGTGGTTAAGAATCCACCTGCCAATACAGGGGACACCAGTTTGATCCCTGGTTCGGTAAGATTCCACATGCTGCAGGGCAACTAAGCCAGTGCTCCACAACTACTGAAACCCGCTTGCCTATAACCTGTGCTCTACCACAAGAGAAGCCACTGCAATGAGAAGCCTGTGCATCACAATGAAGAGCAGCCCCCACTCTAGACAAAGTCCACGCACAGCAACAAAGACCTAGCACAGCCCAAAATAAATAAATCTAAAAGTAAAAATAATAGTAAATTTGAAGGAAAGATAAAAAAAGTTTAACAAGAAAGGATCTATTGAAAATTTTAGAACTGAGAGTTCCCTGGTGGTTCATTGTTAGGACTCTGTGCTCTTACTGCCAAGGGCCCAGGTTTGATCCCTGGCTAAGGAGTGAAGATTCTGCATGCCCTGTGGCATGGCAACAAAAAAGAGAGACCAAACTTTAGAACTGGAAAACACGATATCTGAATTTAAAACTTCGCTAGATGCACTTAACATGGAAATGGAGATGACAAAGGCAGAACCACTGAGGTTGGGGGTTATCAACAGATACTATCCAATACATAGAAAAGAGAAAATATCCAAATAAAATACTGACAAGACCTCCTGCTTATATAAAGATTATAACCCTATAACAATACAAAAAGAAAGAACAAGAATATCCTTTCTAACTACCAAAGGACAACCAATAACTATGATAAACTAATGAAACTGTTTTTGAAAGAAAAACTGCCTTCACTGAGCTTGTCATCTATTATCTAGAATACGAAGAAATAATTCTTCCCCAGATGACAGCAAAAAATGAAAACAAAGAAAAAACATACCAGAGATATGAATAACTAAGGATGAATAGATGATAAATTTTATTCCTGGGGAACTCTGAAGCTGACACAGGGTTTCATGGAAAGAACAGAAAAGATTTCCTCTGTTTGGTCACAAGTAATATGGCTTTCATGAGTTAAATATTTGCAATCTGCTGCATATTTCATTTATGTAACCAACTTTTAAAAGTCACATATAATTAAAAGAAAACTTTACAGATAAATTAAAAATTTAAACAGGTTTAAAAAAGGATCTCCTGGAGACACTAAATTAAAAGATAATATATACTGATACACTTCTCTTCAAAGAGGTCTTGGAGGACCAGATTATAAAGAATTTTGCTGAAACAGTCATTAAAAACTAACAAAACATATACAAGAGGAAAACTATCAAAACTCTGAAGAGAGATATCAAAGCAGGACAAATAAACAGTGATTCCATGTTCACAGATAAGAAGACTTAATACTGTCAAGAAGTCAGTTCATCCTAAATTAATCTATAGATTCAATACAATCCTAATCAAAATTCTAACAAGTTATTTTGTGGATATCTATAAAATGATCCTAAAGTTCATATGGAAAGACAAAAGACCCAGCACAGACAATACAGTATTAAAGCAGAAGAACAAAGTTGGAGGATTGATACTACTTGACTCTGAAGCTACTACAAAGCTGCAGTAATCAAGACAATGTGTTATTAGTGAAAGAACAATCAATCAATGGAACAGAACAGTGAGCCTAGAAACAGACCTCCATAAAAATAATCGACTCATATTTGACAAAGGAGCAAAAGCAATACAATGGAGCAAAAAGTCTCTCAAAAAATGATGATGGAACAAATGGACATACATATGCAAAAAATATAAATCTAGACCTTACACTCTTCACTCAATATAACTCAAAATGGATTACAGACCTAAATGTAAAACACAAAACTATAAAACTGGAAGACAACATGGGAGAAAATCCTGGTGACCCTGGGTATGGTAATATCCTTTAAAATAGAACAACAAAGACATGATCCATGAAAGAAATGATTGATAAGGTGGACTTCATTAAAATTAAAAACTCTGCTACAAGAAAGACAATACAAAGAGAATGAGAAAACAAGTCACATACTGGGAGAAAATATTCACAAAAGAGACATTTAAAAAGGACTGTTATCTAAAATATATATAATGAATTCATAAATACAACTATAAGAAAACAAAAACTCAACTAAAAAATGTACCAAAGCCCTTAACAGACCCCTCAGCAAAGAAATATACAGATGGCAAGTAAGCATAAGAAAATATGTCCCACATCATATGTTATCAGGGAACTGTGAATTAAAACAATGAGATATTAATACCATCACATACCTATTAGAATGACCAAAATCCAAGACACTGACAACATCAAATGCTGACAAGGATATGGAACAATAGGACTCTCATCCACTGTTAAAACAAATGCAAAATAATGCAGATACTTGGAAAGATAGTGTGGCTATTTCTTACAAAACTAAACTTACTCTTTACACAAACCAGCAATCACATTCTTTGGTATTTACCCAAAGGAGGTGAAAAGGTAATGTTCACACAAAAATCTGTACATGGATGTTTACAGTATCTTTATTCATAACTGCCAAAATGTGGAAGAAACCAAGATGTCCTTTAGTAGGTGAACAGATGAATAAACTGTAACACATTCAGACAACACAATATTACTTAGTACTAAAATGAAATAAGTTATGAAACCATGAAAAACAAGAAGGAACCTCAAATGGATATTAGTAAATAAAAGAAACTGATCTGAGATGGCTACATACTGTATATTCCAACTATATAACACTTGAGAAAAAGCAAAGCTATGGAAACAAAATATCAGTGGCTGCTGTGAAGAGTTGGGGCAAAGATGCACAGTTAGAACACAGAGGATTTTTAGGACAGTGAAATTCTCTGTATTAGATTATAATGATGGATATAGGTCATGAGACATTTGTCCAAACCTATAAAGTACAACATCAAGACTGAACCCTTTACCCATAGGTAAACTAAGGAATTTGGGGGGATTATGATATGTCAATCAATATAGGTTAATCCTTAATGAAAATGTACAATTCTGGTGAATGATGTTGATAATGAGGGAGGCTATTTATGTGTCAGGGCAAGGGGTATATGGGGAATCATTGTACCTTCCTCTCAATTTTATTGTAAACTTAAAACTACTCTAAAAAAAAAAAAGGCAATCTGCTATCAGCTTTTCCCTTAAATGTCCCCCAAATAATAACAGCAAGGTAAGTCCAAGGAGGTAACAGAGGGAAATGTGCTCAGTACCAAATGAGAACTTACTTTGGGTTTTGCAATCTCCTTGATCTTCCTGATTTCCTTGTCAGACATGACATTGTAGAACCTGATGTGTGGGCTGTCCCATTCATCCTCCTCTTTGAAGGGGGCGATGACCAGCTGGGGCGTCCTGTTGCCATAATGGTACCTACAGAAAAGCCTCTTCTGCCTCTGTGGTGTCTGGGAAGCACAGAGCAACAAGTCTATGTTATGAGCTCCTCAGTTTGCAGGCACCAGCCTCACTCCTTAGGCCTATCTCCTCCCTCTTCCCTCAGAAAGGAAAAAAAGCATAATGGAACACAAATCGTTCAATATCTTCTCTGTCAGGAACTTCCTTACTCACATTTACAAGCCCTTAGAGGGAAGTGATTCTTATATTGGACTTAAAAAACAGTGACAATTCACCTTAAATGGGTTTGGAAAAAAGAGTCTTTTTCTTCTATCCAACTTCCCGTAATGTCCAGGGGTGATCAGCTCACTTCTGTGATTGAACCCTTTAATGGTCTACTGTCTGTGGCCTTCCTACTTATGCTATGACCCAAGGACCAGCATCAGTTGGGAGATGGTTAGAAATACAGAATCTCAGGTTCTAACTCAGTATTACTGAATTAGAATCTGCATTTTAACAACATCCCAGGCGATTCCCATGCACCTTAGATTCTGAGACACTAACAAAGTCCAAGATCTACCCATGATCCACCTGGCCCTCCATGAGCCTACCTATATTAAAATTCTGAATATTATAGCTTCTTTTCTCAAATATTATGCTCTACTAATATAAGAAATGTTTCCTAATTCCAAAATATAGGATAATTTTTCTCACTGTACACTTGTTCATGGTATAGTCTCAGCCTAAAACTTCTTTTATTACATTGTTCACCTGGTAATCTAGTTTAGGAGTCCTTTACCTGTGAACCTTACCACTTTTTGTCCTGGAGTTAATAACCTTCTGTTTTATGTTGCTATCAAATCTTGCACATATCACTACTGTACTAAAACTACTTATTTATATTTTAAATGTTCCTTTAATAGACTACATATTTCTGTAACAGGGCCATATTATTATTCATTTTTGCTTAATTTCTTCCACATGCAGGTAATAAAAAACAATATTCATAATAGTCTTAATGCCTAACATCTAATTAGCCATCAATTAAAATAAGTGTTTGATATAATTATAAGACTGAAAAAGACCCAGTGGTGCACTCAACGGGCAGGTTCAAGAACTAAAATATCTTTTCAACTAAATCTGGCCTTCCAAAGTCAAAAGTCTCCAGTATTCACATGGCCAGGTGGTCTAAAGGTCTCCAAGTACCCTAAGCACCCATTATAACCCCAATGACTCCCTTTCCCGTCTTACAAGTTTGATACCCTCTCCGCGGCACAGGCTTTCATAGCTCTCCAGGGTTTGCTTATAATCCAGAGTATCCTGAGGAGAACTGTTCAGTGTCTCCTGCTTGGACTCTGATTCTTCATTCCCAAAGTTTCCTGCCCTTTCTTCCTCCAACAACTTCACAAAGTATGGCAGAGTCAACTGGGCTTGTTTATGAGAGGAGTCTGGACAAAGGAAAGCAAATAGTTAATAATCAGAGAGATCATTCAGAGAAGCTCTGCAATTCTTCTACTTCAAACGACACTGATAAACCAGTATGGAATTTGAACACTGTCCAGAATTATAATTAAGAGAGAAATAAAAACTGGTATGGAGAAAATCCACCCCACTGTGCCTCACTCACCAGTTCCAAGGGACCTAATACAGACAGGCAACCAGTGGTCCTGCCTCACACTCACAACTCAGTTTTATGCTGAGCACATCTGCTTCCTAATGCATTTTCATTACAATGTTATATATCATGTGCTGTTTTATATATATATATATATATATATATATATACACAAACACACACACACAAAGAATGTAGACTAGAGTTCCAGATAACTTCCACAAGCATCATTATCTCATGGGCCCTCACAATATCCAAGATAGAAGGATTTTGGTCCCCATTCCTCAGGTAAGAATACCAAGACACAGAATAAACAAGGAACCTGGGTCAAGATCATATAGAAAAAAATAAGCAAATCAGAACTAGAACCCAGATGTCTAACTCTGTGGCTATTATCAAAAATACTAAAAAAAATTTACAAGGCTTATCTCACGTAACAGTCATGAAGGACACTCCCATGTTAGCCAGTCAATGAAAGAGTTCTGGCAATAATGTCAACAAAAGAAAGATTTTACGAACCTGAGTCATGGCAGCAAAGTCTAGAGTGTTAAATCCTACCAAGTTTATTAATATAAATCAGGTGTGGTATGATAATATAAATGCTCTTTTCAAAAGAAAACATATTACAGTCAAATTAGATATAGCCCTTTGGTCATCCTAGAGTAATTATGAATCCAGGACTGAAATATTTTTCACTAAGCTCTCACAGTGCTGTGAATAGTTATCATGTTATTTTCTACAATCCATTGACTTTATCTGTTAACACGTCTAATCTCCCACTACCATCCCCAAACGACCTTAAGATATTCTGGGAATAGGCCATACATATTTAAGTCTTTTGCCCAGTACAGATTCTAGCATGTAACAGACCTCTGTAAGTTTGCTGAATTTAGTAACAATAAAATGACTCTGCAATATCCCCATCTGTTGGTAGTCTTTATGCCAAGACATCTCCCTGAAAACAAAGGGAATACACCACCTGTCAAGGAGCTCCTTCTGCTTTTTGGCAATTATCTTGAGTTTCTCTTCAAACAGAACCCAAGAGTATCTGGCTACATATTCTTCTCATGTGATCTAGGGCTAACTCTAAGGGCCACAGAGAACAAAAATAATCAATTCCTCTAATTCTTAAGTTAATCTTTTCTTCCTCCAATAATTCCAATTATTTGTTAAGATTCTGACACTGAGTCTAATTTGTGAGTTTTCTGACATGACCAAGCAATTCTCTGACAGCTGCTGGGTGTTCTACTATTTAACTCAATTCTGGCACTACCCATCTGAAGATAGGGTCAGATCCCATAGGCTAAGGGTTCAATCCCACAACACGGACTCCTACCCTTACCTCTACTTCAGTGACCAATTGCTGTTCAATCTCTGAGTCACATCTGACTCTGCAACCCCATGGACAGTAGCATGTCAAGCTTCCCTGTCCTTCACTATCTCCTAGAGTTTGCTCAAATTCATGTCCATTGAGTTGGTGATGCCACCCAACAATCTCATCCTGTCGCCCCCTTCACCTCCTGCCCTTAAGCTTTTCCCAACATCAGTGTCTTTTCCAATGAATCGGCTCTTCACATCAGGTGGCCAAAGTATTGGAGTTTCAGTCCTTCCAATCAATATTCAAGGAGATTTCCTTTAGGATTGACTGGTTTGGACCTCTTGCAGTCCAAGGAACTCTCAAGAGTTCCAGCACCACAATTCAAAACCATCAATTCTTTGGCACTCAGCCCTCTTTATGGTCCAACTTTCACATCTGTATGATGACTACTGGAAAAACCACACCTTTGACTATACGGACCTTTGTCAGCAAAGTGATGTCTCTGCTTTTTAATACACTGTCTAGGTTTGTCACAGCTTTTCTTCCAAGGAGCTTTCCAAGTATCTTTTAATTTCATGGCTGCAGTCACCATCCACAGTGATTTTGGAGTCCAAAAAAATAAAATCTGTCACTGTTTCCACTTTTCCCCCATCTATTTGCCATGAAGTGATGAGACTGGATACCATGATCTGCTTTTTGAAATCTGAGTTTTAAGCCAGTTGTTTCACCCTCCTCTTTCACTCTCAAGAGGCTCTTTAGTTCCTCTTCACTTTCTGCCATTAGAGTATTATCATGTGCATATCTGAGGTTGTTGATATTTCTCCCAGCAATATTGACTCCAGTTTGCAATTCATCCAGTTAGGTCTTTCACATGATGTACTCTGCATAGAAGTTAAATAATCAGGGTGACAATATAAAGCCTTGTCATACTCCTTTCCCAACAGTGAACCAGTCCATTTATCCATGCCCAGTTCTGATTGTTGTTTTTTAACCTGCATACAGGTTTCTCAGGAGACAGGTAAGCTGATCTGGTATGCCCATCTCCAGAAGAATTTTGCCCAGTTTGTTGTGATCCACACAGTCAAACGCTTTAGCATAGTCAATGAAGCAGAAGTACATGTTTTTTCTGGAATTCCCTTGTTTTTTCTATGATCCAACAGATGCTGGTAATTTGAGCTTTGGTTCCTCTGCCTTTTCTAAATCCAGTTTGCACATCTGAAGTTCTCAATTCACTCACTGCTGAAGCCTAGCTTGGAGGATTTTGATCATTACCTTGATAGCATACAAAATGAATGTAATTGTACAGTAGTTTGAACATTCTTTGGCACTGCCATTCTTTAGGACTGGAATGAAAACTGACCTTGTCCAGTCCTGTGACCACAGACGGGTTTTCCAAATTTGCTGGTGTACTGTGTTCAGCACTTTAACAGCAGCATCTTTTAGGATTTAAAACAGTTCAGCTGCAATTCCATCACCTCCACTAGCTTTGTTTGTAGTAATGCTTCCTAAGGCCCACTTGACTTCACTCTCCAAGATGTCTGGCTCTAGATGAGTGATCACACCATCATGGTTATTCTGGTCATTAAGCCCTTTTTTGTACAGATCTGTGTATTCTTGCCACCTCTTCTTATCTTCTGCTTGTCTAAGGTCCATACCATTCTGTCCTTTATTGTGCCTATCTTTGCATGAAATGCTCTCTTGGTATCTCCAATTCTAGTCTTTCCCAGTCTATTGTTTTCCTCTATTTCTTTGCATTGTTCACTTAAGAAGGCTTTCTTACCTCTCCCTGCTATTCTCTGGAACTCTGCACTTAGTTGGATATATCTTTCCTTTCTCCTTTGCCTTTCACTTCTCTTCTTTTCTCAGCTATTTGTAAAGACTCCTCAACCACTTTACCTTCTTGCATTTCTTCTTCTTTGAGATAGTTTTAGTCACTGCCTCCTGTACAATGTTATGAACCTCCATCCATAGTTCTTCAGGCACTCTGTCTACCAGATCTAATCCCCTGAATCTATTCATTACCTCCACTGTTAGTGCTTCTGACTACTGGCTGTGGATTGGAAGTTCTAGTGACTCACTCCTTGGGTTTGCTTAATTTGTTAGAGCAGCCCAAAGAACTCAGAGAAACATGTTACCAAGTAGATTACCAATTTACAACTTACAAACAAATAAAAGATATGCATAAGGCAAAGTATGTGGCAAGGGGTATAGAACTTCCATGCTCTTTGGTCTTGCCACTCTCTCAGCATCTCCATGTGTTCACCAGTCTGGAAGCTCTCTCTGCCCTCTCCTCTGGGTTGTTATGGAAGCGTCATTATATAGGCAGGTTTGATTAAATCACTGGCTATTGTTGGCCAATTTAACCTCCAGTCCCTCTCCTCTTTCCTGGAGGTCAGAAAAGTTTCACACAGGGCTTGTTCCCCTGGCAAGCAGCTCTCATCTTTAGGTTACCTGAAAGTTTTCCAAAAGTCACCTCATTAACTTAACAAAGACATCTTTATGCCTCTCATCACTTAGGAAATTTGATTTTTGGAGCTTTGTGCCAGGAACAGGGAGAAACCCAAATACACAGTACTTATTGTAAGTCACAATATCATAGTCACTCAATACAGATCAAATTAAGTGTTTAGCACTACACTGGAGTTTGAAAATGCAAAAGTGGTAAAAAAAAAAAAAACACTATTATTTCTAAAGTCTTTGCTTTAGAAATAAAATTTGCCTGTCCTTGGTAAACAAAGGATATTGTAACCATCAAGACATTACATTATAACCACCCAAAAGATGAGCCCTGAGGGAACCCAGGATGGAAACAGATTACCTGCCATTTAGGAATCATCAGATTGCAGCTATTCATGAGGGTGCAGCTTGGGGAAAGTCATGATGAGAAAACACAGGATACTGGCCCCATATTGCTGAGGTTCATATCAAGCAATGATTTCAGTGAGCCCAGACTCTTGCATCTTCCAATATTCAGAAAAGTGCTAAAATCCTTAACTTGAGATATCTGGTTTTCTTTGCTTAACAATAATCTTTTGATGTTCCAACTACTTGACCTTTGTTTTGCTGACTTAAAAAATGCACCAACGTGAGAGTTGTGAGTTAAGTTTTATTTGGGGCAAAATGAGGACTATAGTCTGGGTGACAGCATTTCAGATAGCTCTGAGAAACACATATATGATCAACATATATGTGATTTAGGAGCAGACATCATCATGAAGAAATGTGGTGCTTTTCTAGACATGAGAAGATGCAACAATTGAGCTCACAGAATCAATTCCTGAAAATATATAATTATTTGAAGACCTGTTCTGCCAATTTTTTCAGAGCACGGACTGCCTCCTTCCTGTTCTCCTTCCTGAACTCCCTTCAGCAGATGTTGAAGGTCAGCAGCTGCAGCAGCATGTGTGATTTAATCCTTGTAGAGGTAGACAGGAAGTGTACATGGCAAGTGCCAACTGGCAGTTAACAGTCGCAAAAACTCCTATATATCCTGGCTCCCCCTTCTCCTCCTCATAACAGTTTTCTCAGCGCTACCTGAGATGCTGTCTCCCAGGTCTGAAGTCATAATAATGTGTGCTCAATAAAACTTTCCATTTTTAGGTTGCGCGTTTAAAAAAATTTTTTAATCTACTTGGCTGCAATGGGTCTTAATTGAGGTATGCGGTATCTTCAGTCTTCACAGAGACAGGCAGGATCTTTAGATGTGGCATGTGGAATCTAGTTCCTTGATCAGGGATCAAACCCAGGCCCCCAGAATTGGGAGTTTGGAATCTTAGCCACTGTATTATCACAAGGAAGTCCTTTAGGCTGTGCTGTTGTTTTGTTTTTTTTTTTTTCTGTCAACAGCTTATTGGGGAAAACAATTTAATAAAGGCAATATAGATGGAAATGAACTATTAAAATAAAACATAATAAACTTCTATGGTGAAGGGAATTACAGGCTACTATGAAACTTGTAGAAGGGAAGAGGAGAATGTCAGAACAGATTTATCAGCACAGAGAATGCCTCAGTTGTGAGCCCTCTTAATTAAAGACTGATTATCGGGTCGAGAGGGAGGTGGGAGGGGGTATAGGGATGGGGAATACATGTAAATCCATGGCTAATTCATGTCAATGTATGACAAAAACCACTACAATATTGTAAAGTAATTAGCCTCCAACTAATAAAAATAAATGAAAAAAAAAAGACTGATTATGCCTGAGAAACAAAATATTGACTGCTGTATCAGTAAACAAAGGCTGTTGCAGTCATCAGTGATTGTAGCCACCATGGATGGTGAGCCCTGAGGGAGTTCACAATGGAAACAAGCAATACTGACCATGAGCAACCATTAGACTGCAGCCACCCTCAATGCTACAGCCTGAAGAAACTCGGTATGAGGAAACATAGGATACTGGCCCAGATAACTGATGTGCCTATCAAAGGAATGATTTCAGTGGGCCCAGACTCCCAAGTCTCCATTCATAGAAAAGCATTAAATTCCTTAACTTAAAGTATATAGTTTTCTTTTATTAACAGGAGCTTCTTGAGAATTTCCTGGCAGTCCAGTGGTTAGGACATGGTGCTTTCACAACTGAGGGTTGGGGTTTGATCCTTGGTTGTGGAACTATGATCCCACAAACCAGGTGGTGCAGCCAAAAAACAAACACCTAAAACAGTCAATTGTACTGTTGTTGTTGTTGTTGTTGTTGCAAAAATTCCCATATATGCTGGCTTCTCCTCCTTCCTTTTTGGTACAGTTTTCTCAGCATTTATCTGAGAGGCTGTCTCCCAGGCTTGAAGTTCTAAGAATGTCCACCAAATAAAACATTACTCTCAACTTTCAGGTTTTGTGTTTCTTTCCAGTTGACACGTCCCAGTAGAATTCTTTGTTTTACCTCTTATAACTTACCTCCATCAAATTTATACATGACTATATTTTAAATACAAATATTTATTGAAAGCTTAATTTTAAAAAATGGAACCACCTATTACCCCACATCTCCTTTCCATTCACATGTCTCAAAAGTGGCCACTTTCTTCAGTTGTTCCCTTTCACATTTTATTGCTAAATTTATGAATCAGAAAATGATTAGTTTATCACAAGACCTAAGTTATCATAGAGGGACTGGAAAAACAAGAAGTTTCTATAGCAACGATGTCTTCAAGAAGACAAGGCATTAACTGATTATGACCATACCAAAACAAACAGACATTTTCACTGTTACACAGAGCTCCTTAGTGAATTTTCACTACCATATGAAGGCTAACTAGTTGTTCAGCAACCTACTTCATGCTCCTGGAAACTAAGAAACTGTATTTTCCAAACCTCCCTTGAAATGAGATGGGGTCCATGATAGCTCTGACAAGAGAATGTGGACAGAAGTGATGGATGCCACTTATAGGCCTGGCCTATAACATGTATCATGAATTCCTTCACACAGCTAGCATGAAGGGACTCCAAAACAACAGAGTCATTCTGGAGTAGAAAAAAAAAAAAATCTCAATTTTTTTTTCCCACACAACTTGTGGGATCTTAGTTCCCCCACCAAGCACTGAACTCAGGCCCCCTAAAGGGGAAGTGCAGTGTTCTAACCACTAGACTGCCAGGAAATTCCCTAGAAAAAAATCTAAATTCTTGAGTCAACATTTAGAAAAGCCACCCAACCTGCAGGAGGACCTGCATGGATGAAAAGTAAAATTTTATACATTTCTTGTCTTAAAGATTCGGGAGTTTATTTGTTACCATAGGGTAGTCTTCCCTGACTAACAATTGAGTCACAAGAACTCTATGGAATATTCCACCCAAGGCCAGGGCAGGTGGGTCAGTTGTTAAGTGGGATGAAGGAGCAGGTCAACACAGAGCAAATTACTTGCTTTCCTAGCTCCCAAGGGTATTACCAACAGAAAGCAGCTGATTGGTGAAGTCCACTGCCCTGTACAGGTCCAAGCCGGAAGCTGATATCTCTGAGATGGTCCAGGACTTGAATCTCGGAGATAGTGCTATGCTCCCCTGCATTCAGTTGCTTTAGCGCTTGCTGCATCCAAAGCATTGAATGGTGAAGGTCGTTGATGCTGAGGGCTGTCTGGCCCAGCCTGAACCAATCACCAACACAATCATCAACTCAGGGTAGAATGATACTTGGTTCCTAGAAGCAAGAAGAACAATGATATTCCTGATAAAGGACACAAAGGGTGATCACTGAGGTCAATAAAGAGATCATTCACACACTCTATTCCCACTATCCAAATACAACCAGTCTTAAGTTGTTTCCCTTCATGTTTTATCTCTGAGTACATGCTTCAGAAAATGATCAGATTATTTTTATAACTACGTTTAGTTAAGATAAGGGGTTTACCCCATAGAAGACACTGAAATGAGTTCCCACAGACCACCTTATTAGTAGGAACATACTTAAAACATTAGGCACTATGGGGAAAATAAGCATGTATCAGGAGCTCTATGCAGGTTCTAATTCAAGATAATATAAGAATGAGACACCAATAAAACTATATTTGATGAAGCAGGTGTAGACTTTAAAAAATATTCACAATCTAAAAGTTGAGAGTTATGTTTTATTCAAATTTTTAGGACTTAAAACCCGGGAGGCAGCACTTCAAGTAACCCCAAGAGAACTGCTCCAAGGAGGAGAGGAAGGGGAGCCAGGTTATATAGCAGTTTTGCAACAGGGTAGGTAACATGCATGTCAAAAAAAATTACTGTTAATTAAAGGAAAAGTAGGTATCTCAAGTTAAGGAATTTAGCACTTTTCTATGTATGGGAAGATGCAAGAGTCTGGGCTCACTGAAATCATTCCTTTGATATGTACCTCACTTACCTAAGGCCAGTATCCTGTTTTCAAATCCTGAGTTTCCTCAGGTCTCACTGGCTCATGTTGGAGGGCTGCAATCACTGATGATTGTGACATCTTTGTTTACTGATATGGTAGGAAATATGCCATTTCTTACAAAGCTTTGAAAGTCATCTGCCTATTATACCAAATCCACCCAGGCATAACTGTTCAATTTCTCTTCTACTTCCTAAAATCAGATCCCAGTTTCCTAGAATATGAAGTGTTTCTGGTTTTTATCTCCTAAATTCCCATGAAAGGTCCAGAGTTCTCAGAGCACCTCACAGCAACATGAGGTGGCTAAAAGGCAAAAAGTAGCTTCTTCCTCTGTATTTCTCAAGTACTACAGGAAAAAAATTGCAAGTTCTAAAGACAAGAAAAGCAGCTCTAAAGCAAATGCTCACAAAGGGAACCCATGCAAGTTGCTTACCTGGCAGGACTCCCCTGGAAAGAGCCTTCAGATCCAGTTTGTATGTGCACTGAAGAAGCAGCAGGGTCTTAGCAGCCCCAGTCACATTCTCCTCTGTAGGAAAAAACCTGTGCAATGATGTGAGCCCGGAAGTAAACACTTCCACACACCAGAGAGGCAGAAAGTTAAAAGAGAAAGAAAAAAAGATCACATGAAATTACTGATAAAAGGAAATAATCCAGTAAAGAACAGACTGCGACTCGTGGGTTCGATTCCTGTCAGGAAGATCCCCTGGAGAAGGAAATGGCAACTTACTCCAGTATTCTTGCCTGGGAAATTCCATGGACAGAGGAGCGTGGTGGGTGACAGTCCATGGGGCTGCAAAAGAGTCAGACATGACTTAGTGACTAAACAACAACAAAGAACAGACCAGAGCATACTATCAGACCTCAATACTTTACACAAAATTGAAATCATCTGGAAATAGTGGGAATGGAGGTGCTGGGACAATGACTTTCTAAAACTATCCTCCACCATACACAAAAATAAACTCAAAATGGATTAAAGATCTAAATGTAAGACCAGAAACTATAAAACTCCTAGAGGAGAACATAGGCAAAACACTCTCTGACATAAATCACAGCAGGATCCTCTATGACCCACCTCCCAGAATATTGGAAATAAAAGCAAAAATAAACAAATGGGACCTAATGAAACTTAAAAGCTTTTGCACAACAAAGGAAACTATAAGTAAGGTGGAAAGACAGTCCTCAGATTGGGAGAAAATAATAGCAAATGAAGCAACAGACAAAGGATTAATCTCAAAAATATACAAGCAACTCTTGCAGCTCAATTCCAGAAAAATAAATGACCCAATCAGAAAATGGGCCAAAGAACTAAACAGACATTTCTCCAAAGAAGACATACAGATGGCTAACAAACACATGAAAAGATGCTCAACATCACTCATTATCAGAGAAATGCAAATCAAAACCACAATGAGGTACCATCACACGCCAGTCAGGATGGCTGCTATCCAAAAGTCTACAAGCAATAAATGCTGGAGAGGGTGTGGAGAAAAGGGAACCCTCTTACACTGTTGGTGGGAATGCAAACTAGTACAGCCGCTATGGAATACAGTGTGGAGATTTCTTAAAAAACTGGAAATAGAACTGCCATATGAGCCAGCAATCCCACTTCTGGGCATACACACCGAGGAAACCAGATCTGAAAGAGACACGTGCACCCCAATGTTCATCGCAGCACTGTTTATAATAGCCAGGACATGGAAGCAACCTAGATGCCCATCAGCAGACGACTGGATAAGGAAGCTGTGGTACATATACACCATGGAATATTACTCAGCTGTTAAAAAGAATTCATTTGAATCAGTTCTAATGAGATGGATGAAACTGGAGCCCATTATACAGAGCGAAGTAAGCCAGAAAGATAAAGAACATTACAGCATACTAGCACATATATATGGAATTTAGAAAGATGGTAATGATAACCCTATACGCAAAACAGAAAAAGAGACACAGATGTACAGAACAGACTTTTGGACTCTGTGGGAGAAGGCGAGGGTGGGATGTTTCGAAAGAATAGCATGTATATTATCTAGGGTGAAACAGATCACCAGCCCAGGTTGGATGCATGAGACAAGTGCTCGGGCCTGGTGCACTGGGAAGACCCAGAGGAATCGGGCAGAGAGGGAGGTGGGAGGGGGGATCGGGATGGGGAATACATGTAACTCCATGGTTGATTCATGTCAATGTATGACAAAACCCACTGAAATGTTGTGAAGTAATTAGCCTCCAACTAATAAAAATAAATGAAAAAATTAAAATAAAATAAAACTACCCTCCAACACAGTAACCACTGGCTACATGTGGTTATTAAGGTGTAAATTTATTAAAATTAAATAAAATTTAAAATTCAGTCCCTCAGTCATACTAATTAAATTACATTTCAAACGCTCAGTAGCCAGATATGTCTACTAACTACCATGTTGGATAGTACAGATACAGAACACTTCCATAATGAAAGGTTTTACTGCACATGCAGTGCTCAGTTGCTGTCTTATTTGACTCTTTGTGACCTCCTGGATGTAGCCCGTCAGGCTCCTCAGTCCATGAGATTTCCCAGGCAAGAATACTGGAGTGAGTTGCCGTTTCCTTCTCTAAGGGATCTTCCTGACCCAGGGATCAAACACGCACTTCCTGCATTGGTAGGCAAATTCTTTACCACTGAGCCACAGAAGTACTCTAAAATAACTCTTGGAATTGAAAACAACAGATAAGATTAATAAATCATTGGTAGTGCTGCAAGGTAGCTTATTAATGCAAATGAAAATTGCTTCTAGAGGAACTCACTTTCAAGCAGATTTCAAAGAATAATTTCCACAGAAAGAAGTCCAAGGAAAGCAAATATTAATAGCTCTCAAGAGGGGGAAAAAAAAAGCAGAAACAATCCAAAAAAATTTTTTTAATTCAGATGTTAGAATTATATGACATGTAATATGAAAGAATATCTTTAATATATCTAAGAAATGGAATAGGGACTTGAAATACAATAAAATTGCAAGAAGATGACAAACACTATCCAAATTGACATACATAAAAATTGAATGAAAAGTTCAATAGATTTGGGACTTCTGGTTTTGGCCATGATAAAGTAGCTTACAGTGAAGTAACTTTCCCACAAAAAGCAAATATAAAATATGAACAGAATCAATAAAACAATTATCTGAAGGCATTGGATAGCAATTAATATAAATTGACTTGGAGGCTATACTCATTAAGAGAAGGAAGATACTAGAGGTAAGCTCTGCACTCAACCTAAATTTTCCAAAAGCCATTTAACTGTACACTTAAATGAATTTTATGGTATGCAAAACAGCTCCTCAACAAAGCTGTTTTAAATAGTCAGAGTATTCTTCTATAAGGAATTGAGTATCCCCATGAAAAGAACCAGATACACTGGCATTTTGATGTTTCCTAGAGTATGATTAGCATCCTCCCCAACAGCTAACCCAAATTCTACCAATATAAACATTCTGCTTACATTTTCAGTATTTTCAGAGGTTTTAAGTTTTCTCTTTCAACTTAACCTCTCTGATACCAACCCTCTCTGATATGAACAAATGATTTTTAAAAAATCCACCAAGCATATAATGAAACTTCCAACATCAGAACATCAGAATCCATGATAATACAAAAATGGTGAAAAAGGGTTCCTGGTTAAACACATAATAATGGGAACAGATAAAACTTTCCTTAAAACTGATAAATAACACTTAAGAGATATTTAAGTTGATAGACAATACATCCAAAACACAACTGCAAAACATCTTGTAAAAGAACAATGATCATAAAAATAAAGAAGATTTTAAAAATTCAAAATGACTGTCAAAAAATTAAATTCAAAGTAAAATTGCCAGTTCTAGGAAGTATAAAAAACAGGCAAAGAATATGAAAAATATGAGAAAACAGATCAATGCAGGAGATCCCCCATCCAAGTAATGCAAGCTCCAGAAATAAAAAAGAGAGAAAATAGAGGAAATTATGAGAAATACAATTTTCCAGAACTAAATAAAAACACAATCTCTTGTATTGAATGCACTCACCAAGTGTCAATCTGAGAAAATGAAACTAACAAATAAAAATCTCCCAAAGTACCATTGTGAAAGCTTAGCCCAAGGATAAAAATAAGACCTTGCAAAAGAGGAAAAAAAAATAGGTATTCTACAAAGAAGAGAGA